CAACATCACCTTGTTCCTGGTGGGAGGGGGAATGAGAAAGTCTGCATTTCGCAAGTGCCAACAAGAGCGCTCAAGCTCCAACAAAATCTCAGATGTAATGAACTCGCTCTCAGTGTGACTGGAGCATGTTTGGACTAGATCTGGTGCAGAAAACAGTCTGCATTTATAAATCACCCAGTAAACTTTAAACTGCTGGCCCACTTTCTTCATTTAAGAATCCTTTGTGGTTTCGATTTGATTCAGGACTTAAAAAAAACTGCATGTATCGCATTTTAAGAATTTAACACGTCAAGGAATATGCAATTGGCAATGCTGGAGCTGGATATTAACTCACACCTAGAGATGAAGTTTATTGTCAATATCAACGAACTTGGAGTATCTCCAACCCTGCAACTTTGCATCGAAACTTCCCCAGGTAGCCACACAGCATGTAGAGGGCTGGAGTAAATCATCAGGGTGGGGCCCACATGCACCAGCCAAGGAGTGTTTAGGGACAGGATGGAGGAATATCTACCCAGCCAAAGCCTCGGCTAACAGCTACCGGTTCTGCGCAGTCAGATCGTCTCATCCAACGATAACAATCCCCACCAGCCTCCGAGGGATTTGGGAGATATTACAATTCTGGGACATAATGGCTGTGGTGGGCGGCCCGTGTTGGGAAGAAACTCACCCGGGATGTTCTCACACGTTATTTTGGGTAGCTACGTGTGAGAGATTTCGAACTCAGCCTCTCCAAAAAAAAAAAAAAAAAAAAAAGGCAAGATGTTATTACAAGCCTGTATGTGTGTGACTTATTGCAGCAGCAGGAAATAATATTGGCGTGTCCTGTTTGTCAAAGATGAACACTGGTTTTAAACTGCCACTAAATATCATAAATGATAAACAGACTCTTTTTTTGTTCCCTGATTCTATTGCTGCTTGTTTAGTATAATTTGAACATTAAATTGATAGATGCATTAAGTTTTATAGAAGCCAGCTTGCTTAGAATGCCCGTTGGTGCATCAAACAGAAAGCATTAGAATGTTTTGCATATTTTATACTTTAGTAAGAGCTGCAGGAGACGCATTACAGCTAAATAAGCCCAAAACGAGCATCCGATTTTATTTGTTGTGCAGAATTTGTGAAATAAAGACAGCTTTGGACTTGCAAAACCCAGAACGGCCATTTGTTCTATTTCAGACATTTAAAAGCAAACCAGTAAATGACAAATGTAGGGAAGTCGGGGGTTGTTAAGCATTTTGCTGTGATTGGTATTTTCATGTCACACTTTGGGTCGAACTGCTATAATTCTCCCCATGTTTGGGGTGTCGTGACAGCACGAAATAATAAACAGGCCACGGTAATTTCAAACAGACGCGCCTGTTACCAGAACTTCGCCACTCCCGTGTACGCTACTGAAGGCTGCCATATTTCCGTTAGCGTGTGCTGAGAATCCTGTGTTCCTGCATCCTCCGGGGATGCCAGCTGAAGAATATCTATGTCAAGGGGTGGGGGGGCAAGTTTATTGCATGACTTTGGGTAATTACTGCGGATACCTCCACTTGCCCGCAAAGAATTATATTAACGTCAACTTACTTAAGCTGTATTGGTTTTTGGACACAGATTATCTGATGTGTGAATAAAATGTTGCACAGAAAATAAGCCACATTAGCAGCACACGCCTGTCTATTAAAGCAGCATCATTTGTGCAGTGCAGATACACGGCGGCCTGGAAAGCACAAGAACTTTGTTTATATAAAGGCAAAGGACGGAAACATGGGCGGGATCGGCAGCCACTGATCGCCGTGCCGATCTCCAGCCCCAGACAGGAAATGGCCGCGCGGCACTACTGAGGTCTCTCACAACCCTCCTGCTGCGGCAGAGCTTTAGTGTCCATCTAGCGGCAAAAGGTCGACCCGTATCTTTCAGTCCACCAATCGGCGACCCACACTTCCTCTTCGAGAGCCGGCGTGATTTTCCACCGGATACGCTATGGAGCCACGCTTCTTCAGCTTGGGGAGGAAAAGGCGGAGGTTGGAGGTGCTAGTGGACTCTCAGAGGTAGTATTTGCATAAATGTGGATTGTAAAAGGACACGCCCACAGCATAAGAAAGGTGGGGAGTGCTGATACCTCTCAGGGCCAAAGCTGACAGAGGTATCTCCATCGGCAGGAAATGGGCATGAAGCGTCGGCCTTCACACCTCATGCGGTGAAACCTGACGAGTCATGGATTGCTGACTGGGGCCCCAACCTCAGAGAAACGTGGGACACCACAAGCAGACGGTTCACATCCTTCTCACCGCTCAAAGTTGTGGCAGTACTGCCAGTAACCACAGTAATGTACACTATTTCTGTGGAACATGTGCCTGAAATGGTTTGTGTGGCTTTGCCACATTAATTACACATGATCTCACCCTCAGCTCAATGCACTCGTGAGCAAATACCAAACCTTAGGTCTTTTGAATTATATTATGGAATTAGAACCAACACCCTGTAATTAGTCAACAGAAAATATTTAATAGAATATCCCAAGTCTGCTGTTTCCAATCATTCCAATCATTAAGGACAGTGAGTTCAGTAACTGCACAAACATGTATACTGTGCACATATGAAGGTGTGACTCATTCATCTGCTTGTATACAATCACCAATGTTTCTCCCTGGGACAAAGGATTGCATCTGAACTCTGAAATGCACTACATTCCCTGAACTGTCAGGGACTGCTTTGAAACCCATTGACCTCCAGAGATTAACAATAGGCAGTGAAAGAGGACGGAATTGACATTCAGCTAAAAGAAACAGAAAGCAGCCGAGACATGGAGTGTGCCATCTAGTGGCAGAACACTTAAGTGACGTTATAAACAGAGGCATAGTACATCCAATTGAAAAACCACTGCACGGAAAGAAAAATAAAGGCCTAGTATTAGAGACTCAATCTGATGTCAAGCGGATGGACAGTGGTGGAAACTGAAAAATATCCTTAATACAGGAAGAGACAGTGTCACTATTTGTATGTCAAAATGCGTTTCTTAAAAGTTCAAAACTTCAGCATGCTTTTACAAGTTCCTCCCTGTACCAATAAAATGCTGCAACTACTTCCTCCCTTCCATTTTTATTAAGGAAAGAAATATAAAACTCTAAAATCCAAGAAGTGATCCAAATCAGCAAGTGCACCCAGCTAACAGATGTGCAGCATGTTATTTTCGTCCGAGTAATAGGTCCCCCCCTTGAGGCCTAACGATTTACTCCACAGTCATATTCACTTTACCACAAGACTGTACAGGTAGGTGTGCTTGCAATGAGATGATTGTGCCAAGGAAATGCAACGAATCTCTCTGCAAGGACGGTACCGTTTATACAAGAAGTCCGATGGATGGAAAATGCAGCCCCCCGCCCCAAATGACAAGCCCCAGGCAGGAGAGACACACTAGAAACACTTACCTTACTCCCATGAAATGATGCACTACCCAATGCAAGTTCACAATGTACAACTGACTTTTTAATGAACTCTTCAGTGGTTGGTAGTCACAGCACAGTGCACCAATATGAAGTCACACATATATATATATATATATTTTTTTTTATATATATATATATATATATATATATATATATATATATATATAATTGTTAATAAAAAGGGGGGGGGGGGGGGGGTTAAGAGGTGGGGAAAATTGCAACCAGTCAGAGTGCAACGCCAATTATACTTACAAACAGGGTTTCAAAAACAAAAAAGGCCACTTAAATGCGTCAAACTACATTCCGATGCATGGTCTTTATTTGACATAGTGGTTATGTTCTCCGTGGTGGACATGACATCACATGACAATGGCATTGCATACAGACACTGTATGAGGACTGGCTTAGAAATCCCTACCATTTAGTCAATACTTTGGGCTAATACTAAAGCTTAAAAAAAGAACTCGTCCAAAGATACTGTACACAATGTGTGAAATGTAGTGAAGCCATCGTATTTCACAACTACCGTGAACACTTTTAAAAAGAAAAAAAACATTGAATACCGTAAAGTCTCTAAAGGAGACTGGACCGTAATTCAATGACGTCAGACTATAAAAGAATGGTTTAACACGCACTTTGTCCTCTGGAGTTTGTGTTTCTCAACAGTAACAGACAGGATGCCCTGGGGATCCAAAACACATGCCATGTGCTGGTATCAAATAGTTCACACATACAGCATCACTCAGTACCTGCTAAAATGACGTGAAACAGACTATAAACCAAAAAATACACTACAAACTTAAAAGGATCAGCAATGCAGGAAAGGGAGTTGTGGAAATTCTACTTTCAGTGGATTCATTAAAGCATTCTTGCAAGAAATAAATGCATATTGCACATAGAGTGAAAGCTTGAATTCCACCAAGTTCACATGTTCCATCTTGAAAGACTTTTCCTTGGGACATTTCCTTCTCAGATAAAGTGAAATTAAGGTGGAAGAATCCAGGTGCAAAAACATTTGAGTGCATGTGTGTGTACCATAAAAAAACATATCAGGGTGGGAAGGGATTCTGGGAATCTGTGAGGACTTCTGCTGAGTGACAGAGCCTCTAAAGGGGCGGGACATCAGGAAAACAAAAGACGGGATTGGTGGAAATACAGCACGGCACACAACACTTCTGAGAACAAAAACAAGGGGCGGGGAAGCTTGTGGCACAAACATCAGGTGTTGAGTAACTGTTCTGTGACATCTGAGAGCTCGATGCAAGTGTTTATGTACAACTAAGGCTTACTGGTTAAATAATTCCCCCCCCCCCAAGGCTTCCCCACCTGCTGACATTGTTCCTGGGCAAGGTGGTGGCGCTGTTGCTGCCCCCCACCCTCACTCATCCGTAAAATCTCACTTTCGCCTTGTAAACTTCATCGACTCGATGGCAGAGGCAGGGCGCAGTAAAAGAACTTGGCTGGGGGGTGGGGGGGGCTGGGGTAATAGGACCGACGAGGGGCAGGATGGGTCACTCCCGTGGGTGATGGCAGCCACCATTGGTGTCTGAACACACGGGCACAGCCGCCTGCTGCCACCCAGGTGGGGAAACCAGTCTACTTGGAAAGTTTGCTAATTACTCTGATCAGTGCTCCATTCTCGTCCTTTAGTCTCTGGTTGTCTGCTTTCAGGTCTGGCAGCGTCTGAAATGGAGAGAGAGAGGTGTCAGCCATGTCCAGGCAGGTTAGAGGACTCATCCGCCATCCCACCGGCCAGCTCGCCTGGCGAGGTTGCCGTCAGGCGTGGTCTCACCTACGGCCTGTGACGGGCATCCCTGCAACACCAAGACTGAGCTTCCACAAACCACACACATGCATGCAGAACAATCAACTGTACAGGGGAACAGCTCTCCTCAAAACACTCACACACCCAAGGCAAAGAATTACAGCTAAACACTACCGTAATGCCATTTTACCCAGAGTAATGCCCATTTAAAGGGTGGCGTCCCTTTAACGTGTATGAACACACTCAAGTCTGCAACATGTCTGACTTTTACTGGTCTTCTCAGAATTTGAGCATTATGCACTTAAAGCAACACCATAGGGATAAAGAGATTACGAACACAGTGAGGTATTTATTAGAATAAATACCAGGTCCAGATGACCTGCATGTTCACAGAATTCAGTGTGATATTTGGAATGTGTAACAGCCCATGTCTGCAGGGGACGGCTCAGCGTTTTCAGGAGCTCGCGCATGTGCACCAGCGACGACTGGTCTGTGTGAAACTCTGCCTACCCACATGCACCACTGTCTCAGAGAGCTAACTCGTCTGTACCCTCTCTAAACAGAGCCAAGTGCTGTATTGCACAGTCACAAAGACTGAATTAAATTGAACCCAAGCCCAATATCAGCTGAATCAGGTGAGCTGCAGATGCAATATAACAAAGAGACAAAATGACTGGAGGTGTCCACATTTTAAACAAGGTGCCTACAGTTAACAGGGAGAAAATAATACATGTACAAGCAAGAAATACAGAAACGTATTAGCAAGGGTCCTCATAAAGTAAGTAAGTGATGTTTAGGGCAGCGTTTCCCATTCAGTCCTCTGCAACCCACAGATGGTCCACATTTTTGCTCCCTCTTGGCTCACTGCAAAAAAGTCCACATTTTTGCTCCCTCTTGGCTCACTGCAAAAAAGTCCACATTTTTGATTCCTCTTGGCTCTCTGCAAGAAAGTCCACATTTTTCCTCCATACAGGGAGCTGGGAGGGAGCAAAGACTTTGACTGTCTGCATGTCCCTGATGCCCAGGTTGGGACACACTGGTTTAGGGTGATAAAATGACTGAGGCTAATCAAACACACCACAAATGCCAAATGCTTATAAGGTGTCAAAACTGCTGACAAGAACCACAGCATTAAGAAACCACACTGCACACCTAGCAAACAAGTCCTCAGACTGTGAGAATTTTCAGTAAATTAAAGGGAAGATGCATGAAGGATCTCAAGAGCTTCATGAACGCCATACAAACAGTGAGTGAAATGTGGCTATGGCATTGTGCATAAATTACAGGGCACAGGTGGCCGAGTTGGCTCCTGGCGGCACGGAGGATCACCTGATGCAGGACTGGCACGTTCCTGTGATACAGGACCCGACTAACACAGAACCCTCTTGAGATCCCGCAGTTGTACCACATCATGTGGTCTAGCAGATATAGCAGTATTACAGACCTTTACCCAAGCCATGACTTCATTAAGGTCACATGATAATGCCCATTAGAATGGAGTAGGAGTTGGTACGAGACCCCTTTCTTCATGTCGTTCATAAGAATTCAGTTTTGGCATGAGGGCCTGACATCAGATGAGAACCAGGGAAGGTTCAGTTTGACCACAATTGCTACCATCATGTGGACACCAATGAAATGAGGCTTTCACATACACCACCAATCCAGACACTCATGGGAGTTTTACTTGTTCTGAGGGCAGAAGAAAAACGACTGGTTCAGTGAGATAACCAATCAGATTGTAGAGGATGTGGGTCCAAGCAGCTAGAGGTGGTGGGACCAATCAGATGATCATTTTTCCTTCTGCCCTCAGAACATTTCTGTATAAGTATAACTGCCACAAGCAAGTCAAACTTGGTCAACCCACATAAAGTCAAAAAATAATGGAGGTAATATGGATTGGTATGCAATTCTTAACCATGCCAAGAAAAAAAACACACAGAGGGACAGAGTGATCGCAAACCACAAAACATAAACAAGAGTCAATGCTTCCAGAGGGCACACAGAGGAAAGGACAGAGAGTAGTTTGCTGTCCTATGGGGTGCAAACACTAGCATGAGAGCCGGCACCTGCCTGTCTATGTGCACGGGCGGGCAGAGTGAGAATGGAGAATGGGGAGGGGGCGTGGCTACGAGTCGGCCGCGCACGGCTGGCTACAGGACTCTGTGAGTCTGGCCACCACACGCGCCAGCGCCCTGTTTTCAGCCACAAGCTGCTCGTTAAGCTTCCGCAGAGCCTGAACCTGCTTTACCTGCTGGAGGTTCTGCAGAGAAACCACAAAAGAACAAGAAAGAAAAGTAAAATAAAAGGAGGAAAAAACCCAGAACAAAAGAGGGGGCATGAATGAAAAATCCAGGGTGCAGGAATGAGGACAAAAGAGGAAGAAAAAAAAAAAGAAAGAAGAAGAGACAGTTAGGAGATGAACAGACAGCCCATCTGGAAGCTGAAGAGTGAGCCTTCAGGACAGCATGTCTGAGATGGATATCCAGGGAATCAGACAGGATGAGAGGCACACATGGGGGTGGGCTGCCCCTGGGACCCCCCCCCCTCCCCAGAGACCGCTCGCAGTGTGTGTGCAGAATGACATCGAGCGCCTGCGTCCATCAGTCACACACTCATTCCGGAGGCCAGGACAGCATCCCATGCAACAACAGGGGTGGAGACGGTGGCGTAACCGTGGCGACAGTCGACTACAGCAAAATGGATCCAGTGGTGTACGGTCTGCACCCAAGTGGGAAGTCACCTATTAAACCCGTACACACTAAAAGCCCACGGAAAAGATGCAGGCAGGCTAATCACACCGACACGTGGCTGGGAGAGGCCAGGTGGTGGCCTCCTCTCCAAGCTATGCCAAGAGACTGCTAAAAAGAGGAGAGATGAGGTTACTAGCCATCAGAGTCTGTTAACTGGGACAGTTTTATACCTCTAGCACCATAAGGCACCATCACATACACATACTCTGATTGGATACAATCAGTTTACATAACAGCAACAGGAATCAGAGATCCCCTATAAAAACACCGTAATACAAGCAGCCGAGGGCTCCTCTGGGGGGGGGGGGGCGGGGGGGAGCAGATTCATCCAAAGCTAATTTGTAAACAGGGAAGTACCTTCAGCTCTTCTTCCATGTCAGAGATCTTTCTTTCTAGAGCCCTTTTCTCCTGTGAGGGACAGAGAGCAAAAGTTAACGGCAGTTTAGCATCAGTTCATAAGCATAAAGGACATCACCTGCATCGGTCACGTTCTGCCCCCGAGAAACCCTGAGGGTCACCTGCGCGTCCCTCAGGGCACTGAGGCACATGATGACGGCGGCCAGTCTCCAAAGACAGAGGGACAAGCCTGACTCGTGCAGGAGGCTGGGAGAACCATGCCAGGTGCATTGTGACACAGAACAGTACGAGAGGAAGGTGGGGACAGCAGCAAAACCACGTGGCTATCAAGCACAGAAGCTAAATGTGTGTCAGCTCCCGGTTTGCACCGATGAGTTTCACCAGCCAATCAACTAAACTGCCCAATATAACAAAATTACACATGTAGCAACTATTGGGAAACTTTGGGTCTCATGCAAGGATACCTATAACAAATATGGAAGTATGCATTCGCCATATGTATGCAGCAATTTTCTACTCATTCTATGTGAACTTCCACTTACGACAAGAAACTGCTGTGCATTTTAACCTTAAGGCAAATGTGGACGTACTCGTACACCACTGGAGACAAACTGCTTACACACAGAACTAAAGTGATTAACAATGGCACGACAAGTAGCCAATCGACAACAACAAATAACAAATATATATTTGTTAGGGCAGATATAGTTTAACGGCTGCACAGAATACTGGACATCCTAGCAGGGCCAATCAAAGGAACCATCTTGATCTACTGCAAATATACAAATATGAAGCATGCAGGATACTGGAGGTGCAAGATGATCCGTGATGGGCATGTGATGCGCTACACATACACACACGTACATGCATGAACACGCAGCGTGGGCGATCACACCTCTGCCTGTAAGCACGCACGCACACACATACGCACGGACACATACGCCGGCACTTCCACTGGTGAAAATCTCATCTACACACGCAAAAAGGAGCTTGTGGCTTTGGCTGTGGGCAATCCCAAAAACAGCTAGTCTGCTTGTGACTCAAAAGCCAGAAGCATACGATGGCACACAGTAGGATTAGACCATACCACCCAGTTGAAATAGGGCCTTGCTTGACACCTTCAGACATAAATCAATCTGTTACCATACAGTAAGACTGTATCTAACTGGCTGAAGGCATAATAATGCGATGCTTGCGTTCAACCATTATAAGCATCACTGGCACATCACTGCAGAGTCCTATCGATGACAGAAGCTCGGCATCGGCCCGGCAGCGTCCTTACCCTCCTCTCCATCTCCAGCTGTGACCGCTCAGCAAAGCGCTCCTGCCTCTGAAATGAACACACACACACACAAAGTGTTAAAGGTCGGTGTCTCCTGGGGCACCAAAACACACCAAAAGCGTAGTGAGTCCACGCCAAATGGGAACATGCAGGTATAAGTCCTAGCAAAGGAGGTATGCAGCAGGTCTTCTCAGAGGTGGGGGTTAATTCTATTCCCCCCCCCCCCCCCCCCCCCCACTACCACCTCATCCATAAATACTAAACATCCTGCTTGGAACAATGGCCCTTATCCAGGTTGCACTTCCTGGCTCTGCATCAGAATGACTGATGCACATAGCGAGCTAGATAAATGGTTATTAAAAAGACAAATGATCCCGTACTGACCTGCGTTGCCTTTTCCAGCTGTAGCTTCAAGTCTGCCAGTTCCAGGTTCGTGTCACGTAGCTGTGCTTTCAGCTTCTCGTTTTCAGCTAGGATCTGTATGTAAAGCTTTCGGGGGGAACATGGCAAATGTTACTTACATTTACATTCATCCATTTGGGAGATGCTCTTATTCAAAGTGACATACAATACAGAGAGCAGTGGCAGCTGGAGTAATTATGAGTCAAGGGCCCAACAGTGACATCACTCTGCCAACCATGGGATTTGAACCAACAACCTTCCAATCATGGGCACAGTGTCCTGCAGAATCACAGACCAACCCAAAGATTTATACAAATGTTGATTAAAGCTTGCAGAACTCAAACAAAACAATCCCCCAAACCTACGAAAGAGGTCTTTAACTATACTTGCTTCCCCGTGTGACAGCATCAGAGCAGATTGCAGGTCCCAACCTTTTTGTAGTCTGTGGTGTCCTCCTTCTCCAGTCTGTTCAAGTACGACTGCCTGACCCCCCGGCTGTTGAGGTGGTCGTAGCGGTCAGTCGAGGATGTGGTCGTCACATTACAGTCATTCCTGTAAGACAGCCCACCCCAGAGTAACATCAGCATGTCCCACCATTCCTAGCACTCCCGGCCTAATCCTTTTAGTGGGGTTACATGGGGGGGGTTGGACAGTTATACATACCTTGAAAGTCGATCACTCTGAAAAAGAAAGAAAAAGATTCAGTTACTAGATGACGATTACACAGGTTAACATAATTAAAACAACAATTTGTTGCCAGGCAACCAAACATCCATTATCAAAAGGGCCAACATCCAGACGTAGGTTAACCCAGGGTTATACTGGGTGACGTGGGCCAGACCGGTTCACCAGTGGCCGCAGTACGCCAGGCCACCTCACTAATCCTCCGCATAAATGAGTGTGACAGGTGCAGCGGCACAGCAGAACCCCCACGCCGCCTTCAGAGGGACGTACCCTGACAGTCGCCGAAGCGTGACGCTGCTCCAGCCCTTGGTCTGGGGCTCTGACGCAACAGCGGGAAAGTGCCGTGACGACGGCACAAGCACATCTCGATGGAAAGGACGGTCGCGAGGACCCACGCGCATGCGGACAATGCTACAGAATCACCATCATCTTCATCATCATCACCAGCACTCAGACCATCTTTGTGGATTCAGCTCATCTCCGACGCACACAAGCTCAGAAACAAAATTCTTAGCGCGGTAGGAGAGGAATGTGCAAAAATGCATTTAGTTTATCAAGATCTGGTTCATAGCGGCCTTCTGTGGGAAGCCAAGAGAAATGGCCCCTCGTGAATTTAGTATTTTCAGAATAAAAAAAATACTTTATTAGTGGGTGAGAGTATAAAAACCACATGCGGACGAAAAAAACACAAAGGACCAGGAGCTGTGGTACCAAATACTGTGTTCTGACCCATCAGATCACTAACTCCAATGGCATCAGCAGAGGTGCAACCAGGCATGACCAGCAAAAGTTACCAGGGACCCCAGGCCGCAGTTACCCCCAGATCTCAGGGTGTGCCCCTCCGATAAAAAGGCCCAAATTTACATGGCTGTGGTTGGAGAGGGTCCGATGAACATTTTCACCTGTCCCACGGCCCTCAGAGACACTGTGCCAACAAGACAGAGACGCAAAGGCACCTTAAGTGAGACTGAAACAGCAGCCTGATTAGAGGCCTTTGTGCAGGACTGCTCTAATTAAGGAGCACAGCCAGGGCAGAGGAGCGGTCAAAGCGCCCACTCAGGCCCACAGCTGCAGACAGCAGCACAGCCAGGCGTCAGCACATTTCAAAGCAGATAAATGTCCTGAATAGGTAACGGGAATGAGAGACTCCCACCTATTCAGCCACTCTAATTCCACTCTCTCGGGCTGGTTTAAAATGGATCGGCAGTCCGACAAAGGGCACAATGTCCGCTTTCGACCGGCTCCACGCAGAATACCCCCCCCCCATCTGTTCAGCTGGGGTTATCATCAAGCCAAAAGACAGGGCAGAGCCCCTTTGGGCACTGGGAGGGAGACGGCTCTCCTTTAACTAAACCCATTTCAGGCTGCATTACAGGGCGCCGAAGTTACCTAATTAAAGAATGAAGCCTCGAAGCAGCACAGCCAAACAACAGGCTCCGGAACCCAAGGCCACCATGCCATGGATAAAGGAGCCGTCTCAGGCCACGGACCCCCGGCTTTGCTGGGCACGCCTCACATGCCCAAGCTGTGGTACCCAGAGGGACATCGCGTCTCATAGCGGAATTACAGCGCAGGGTGCCGGGTGGCCCTGACAAGCATCCCAATTTTCTGGTAGAACAACTAGTGCCGAGCGTGGAAGCCTAGCGACGAGCGTGGAGGAGCCCTTTATCCGGTGAGATACGTGGCCAACATACCCAAGGACGGCGGATGAGACCGGAAAAGCTGTGGGGCTAATCTGCTGCTCCAATTATTTCAGCTCTACCCATGTTTGGGTTATTTAATTGGACAGAACAGCTCGTGTTTTAAAAAGAAAAACAAAAACAAAAAAAAAAGGCAAGCACACAAACTAAAAACAGAAACAAAAGGGAAGATGATTGTGGGAAAAAGAACAAAACTTTACCCAAAGGAAAAACACTTTAGCACGAATCACACAGGACCCCCTTCAGGGTGCGAGCCGCAGGGGGTGGATCAAGCTGACCAGGCCCAAACAAAGCAGGCAAGCAAAAGCAGCGGACAGGAGCCCAAGGCCCGAGAGGCGAGCCAGCCTGTCGCTTTGGCCATGCTGCCATCTCCCCCCACTTCGTACCTGGGGCTCCGTGCGACTGCTGCCATCCTCTGAATCGGACTGCTGCTCCAGGTCATTCTCGTCGCTCTGAAACATGGGGGGGAGCCGTGAGGTTCAGCCACGATCCAGCTGGCCTCAGACGCTGATTACGAGTGGCCTTGCACATGTTCACTGCTTTGTGTGGCTTCGTCGCCTGTCGAAATCCCCCAACCCTTAGACGCCCTCCCACCACAAACCCAACGCCTGTCCATAGAGAGGGTGCAGTACAGCTCCATTCAATGGGAGCGTCGTCATGCCAACCACATACAGGTATAGTGGCACGAAATAATGTTCCCCCCCAAGAACACGGCATGACATACAGACAGCAAATGACAACTTACAGTGCAAAAAAAAACTAAACGGGGGGCAGGACAAAAAGGTTTGTTTCAGAACGGCAATTCCAATTATTGTTCCAAGTTTAATTATTGCTCCTTTTCTAGATTACTCAGTATGTTATAAAACAAGATGCAAAGTGTATCACTACAGCTTTTGCATAAGCTCTGTATGCACTCTCCAAGCCACTCACTATCATTTTCATCTTTGCTGTTGTACTCAGGCATAGACAATGTAGCGTGTTAGTGAGAAATTTAACAAAAATAAGTGAGAATGAGAAAAGTGAACATGAAATCATTCTACCATTGTTTGGAAAGATTTTGGATTCCATAGAGATGACATTGAACCAAAGCAAGTGATCTGTGGTCACAACTCGTGGCAACACCATGAACTAACTTGACAGGCCCTATTGCTAGATAAAAAATTAATTGTATTTGGTTATTGTTTTTTGGTGAATTCTCAACTTCTTTTTTGCTTTATAACTGCAAACATTTCAAATGGCGTAACATGAAATGCATCAGGTAGTCAGTTTAATAATTACTGATTCTGATTGGCTGGAGGCATCACACCTGACTGACAGGTAAAGGAAGGAACACCAGAAGTGCCTGGACCTTGAAGGCCACGATTTGAATAGCCCTGCTCTTTGCACGGGGCATAGTGCTTACATCCTGGGCACTGAAGGACATTCCCGTGGAGCGCCTCTTCTCCCGCGGCCGCCGCCGCTCCCGTATGGACCTCGGCTGGGACTTGTCCTCTGCCTCCTTCTCCTCATCCTTCCTGTCACCCTCTGTTAAGCAGGACACAGGCAAATAGTTACAAGCGTGCGGGGTGGTGTGGACTCTGGCTCACGGTGGGCGGGGCTCGTGCAAACTCCAGCCTCACCCGTGCCTGACAACTACGAGGATTAATCAGCTAATAATGATTCTCACAAGTGTGACGGCGTCATGACCTGTACATCACTCACACACCACATGTGAATCACCTTAGAAAAGTAAATCAACACCACTACATTTTATCTCGTATCTTCCCTCCTCCCAACTCTGACATCCATTCCAGCTGCCAGCACTGATTTGCCAAATTACTTGAAACTCAAGAAAGCAACAGTAATACAGTCCAATGAAAACCTCGGGGTCCACAGGAGGATAATCCATTTCCGTATTTGGTAAACTGACCTTTGGCGCCCTCTCTGGTGGAACGGCTGTAGGGCGAGGTGATGCCACTTAGGCTGTTGGGCCGACTGAGGGAGGATGTGGAGAGCGCGGTGGTGCTGGAGGTGGTGCTGGAGGTGGCGGAGGGTCTGTAGCGCTGAAATGACAGGAGAACGTGGACTTCTGAGAAGGACACATCATGTGCCCTGTTTTACAGGGAAGTCAATATCAGCAAGGCTATGAACTCCCTGAAGCACTGGGTACTGACCTCCTCCAAGCTGCGGTACCTCCACCGGTAGTCGTCCTCTTTGGTTTCGGGCTCCTTCTTCTCCTCCTGCTTCTCCTTGTCCTGCTTCTCCTCCTTGTCGTCCTCACGGGTCCGCGTGGGCCGACTCCGGCCGATGGTCTTCTCGGCCTCCTGGAGGTCGGTCAGTGTCACACCCTGCAGAGTCGGCGGTCACAGCTTGAGTGAGTCGGCCTGCGGGACCCTCTCAAAAAACCTGCGCTGGGCAGAGTGCTGAGGCGGGACGGTGGTTTTTTAACAGTGTTCTGGTGAAGCAGTGCCATCTTCAGGAAGAACCTGGCATTTTCTGAACACGCAGCAGCACTGTAAACCATGCCAACTGTCAATCCCACACACATCTTTAATTACAGTCACGCATCACTTAATGATGGGGATTTGTTTTTCAGAAAAGCGTCATTAGGTGATTCTCTCATCATCTGAACATCACGGAGTGTACTTTCACAAACCTAGACGGTACAGGATACTGCACACCTAGACTCTATAGTTTAAATAACGATAAGTTCGGTATGGTAAAAACATAAACCAGTAGCTGATCATCATCATCATTATGAAGTATTACATACTGTTCATAACTATGTGCTACACTTTTATACCACTGGGGGGCGTAGCAGGGTCGTTTACACCAGAATCACCACAAACACGTCAGTAATGCTACAACGGCTTCGTCGCCACTATAGACGACTCAAATTTATCTGCATTATAATCTTATGGGATCAGCATCATATATGCGGTCTGTCTTTGAACGAAACATCACTATGCAACTGGATTAAATTAAGTAATACTATCAATTGAAATGATTTTGCGTTTTGCATTAACATGGTCATCTTAAGGATGCTAAAACATAATGCAAGACACTGGTTTCAGGTGCGTATTTTCCAGCTGATTTTCCTGCAAGCTCTGCCATGTCTCTGTCCTTGGTGACGAGCGCGATAGCATCTCCTCAGCTTACTGCGTCCTGCTCCCTGTGAGCAGACCTTACGGCATGTTTCGGAGAGGGAGGAGAGCAGGAGGTGAGCTTGCCTGGGTCGATCTCCTCGACTGCCTCGCCTGTCTGGAGCGTGCTCGTCTCTGAGACTCTGACTCCTCATCCCGGACGGGGGTGAGGTATGACCTGTCCAGAAAGACACCCCCGGGGGTCAAAACATGAATGGATTTAACCCCCCCCTTCCAATCCCCTTTAACTGCTGGCAGGATGGAAGGGAGGCAATTTAGAGACACATTGACACAGGTTCCAGAGCCCCCACCTTACCACCGTACCAGAACTCCTTATATGGGCATGTCCGAGGAGATGGCCCAAGATGCTCTGAACAGGTGATTTGTCAACGGCGGCAGGAGGTTCTGTTATCTCCCGCGCACGAGTCCAGAACCGTTCCAACACACCAGCCCGAGCAGCACACACAAATGGACACTCGTGCAAACAGACCCTTTTGTAATACAGGCAGCTCTGCTCCCAGCCCAGAACAAATGCGTTTTTAATGCAGGGCGTTTCACGTGCTCACTTTGCGTTGTTTATATGTCGGCATTACGCACAGATTCACAGCCTGACTGACGTTACAACCATCCGCCCTTTAAGTCAGATCAGAAAATCTTGCGAACACATATAAACTTTGGTATTCCCCAGTGACCCACCATGAGTTCCTTTAAATCAATCTTGATGGTTTTTTTGTATGAGCTGATGCCACCTGTTCACTCCTCTGTGTATTACAGCTGATATGCACCACATAGCATTTCATTTTAAATTGAATTATAAAGAACGGAGTAAACATCTCCTGTTTGATACGGGTGACCTTTGCTGCTGGTGAAATGTGGGCCCAGTTATCAGAAAATGTTAACTCCACCTACTTGTGCTACACTAAATGTCACGGTGCGAAAACACTGGCATGCAGTTAATCAGGCCTATATAAAACTGTTTAAAGCAGGCCGGAGCAGGGCCGAGCTAAGCGAGAGGAAGAGGAGGAGGAGGAGGAGGAGGAGGAGGAGGAGGTGGTGGTGTTGGTGTGACAGACCTGCGTCTCTCCTTGCTGTCGGAGGACGTGATAGTGCCGGTGGTGGAGGAGGTCCCCGAGGTGACCGATGCTGTGTGCACAATGGTGGGGATGACTGCCGCAGACTCCTTTTCCGGCTCCTTCTCCTTATTTATACCCTCTTCTGACCAGAACCTGAGGTGGACATGTACAGGTAAAGGGGCCGCCCCAAAGCAGCCGCCACCATGCGTCTCGCCCGGGATCCCCCAGGCCAACCTGCTGGAGGAGCCGGAGCGGGAGCCCAAGCCGGACACCAGGCTCCGGGGCGACGTGACGGAGGAGGTGGTGGCTGGCGAGGTGATGCCGGAGCTCACGCCGTCGTCCTGCCTCCTTCCGAAGGAGCTGCTGGGGTAACGAAAGAGGGCCAGTCGGCAAGGGAAGAGGGGAGGGAGAGGAGCACGCTCACCCGAACCCCCCAGAGAACGGCCTAATTACCGGCGACTATTCACAGTCTTTAAATTAAGCACTCGCATACATTCAATATTCTCACTGCAATATAAACACCTGCTATCAGGGAAAAAAAAACTCATTAATAGGGGAGCTGGTACATGTGGCATTTGGAGATTTTAATTTGCTAAAAGTCATTTAACCAAGTACAGCACTGAAAATGCCAAGCAGACCCGTATCGATAGGAACAGGACACTGAAAGCAGAGCGACACACAAACGCAGTGTCGGGCTGTGCAGAGGGGCCGGTACCTTCTGGGAATGCTGTAAGACTGGTTGAGTGAGGACGTCAGCTGCCAGGGCTTAGAGTTACAGGAGTTAGGGTCCAGGTTGGTGGCGGACGACGACTTTGTGGGGACGTCGCGCACGCTGCTAGAGCGGGTCACGGTCAGCGTGTGGGACAGGCTGGTACAAGCGCATGCATGGATAAAAGCGACATTAGCACACTCAGGAACACACAAAGCCAACTATAGCTGGCCTGCAGACGGTCATGCCCGGCCACCAGGGGTCACTAGGGAGCCCGCTGTCCTGCACGGCACAGTAGAAATGAGGCGACAAACGGTCATGCAGAACCAGCGGTGGCTGGATGTGTGGCTCAAGAGTACAGCAGCCATCTCAGGGCAAAGTGTGTGCTATACTACAGTGTACAAACAGCAACTCTGATGAATCCTTCAGATCCGGTAAACTCCAGGAGGAGGTCAGAAATGCAAATTGAAACGAAGAAAACAGTTCATATGAAAGGCATTATAATAGGCCTCTCAGCAGGGTATTGAAGAAGACGGCAATAAAAATAATAATAATACTTTTCCAGTACATACAATAAGCAGACAGGCTGAATGGCTTTCTTGAGTGCTACATTTTATCTTCTGTGTGGTAAATGGAAGCTGCATGGAGGGGAAAATCGCGGTAAGGCCTCACACCTGCGCTGATAGCTGGGGGTCCTGTTCGGTAAGGTGCTGGTGTCGCTGCTCTTGCCATCGTCGTCCCAGCGCCTCCGGGTGTACGAGCTGCTCCGCACCAGGCTGGCCGGAGAGTCCCTGGAACAGAAAGGCTACGGTCGGCTCCACGCCTGCATATCAGCCTCCAGCTTCCCCCGGCTTACTGACCCCCCACCCCCACTCAGGCTACAGACTGCCGGCAGAACAAAGCAGCTAAAGGCGGATGAATCACTCGTCGCCCGACTACATCAAAAAAATGCAGATTTATTCATTCCAAGACTCGCAGAGCAGTTTTTAAAGTGGCATTAATCTTGTGTGCAAATAAGCACAAAGTCCCATCTTCGGCAACCAGAAATTAAGCAAGTTTCTTTCCACCTTTAAGGACACTAGTGGAAGGAGCCGAGACGTTAAAGCACAACTGCGTGACATGCAGACTTCCACTTAGCGGAGGCATAAATGAACAGCAGGGGGCGACTCGCTCTACCGCATACCCTTAGGAACTGCCCCCTTCCTACCGGTTCTCCTTCTCGTCCATGTCAGTTGTGCTCCTTCGGGACGGGATCGTGGGCATGATGTACGCGAATCGCGTCCCTTTGTCCTTCTCCTGCATGACGAGAATTAAAACAAAACTAGCCTGTGGGCTACAAAGTAAAATCATTCTGTGTGTCACCCACACACTCACATCACTGCTCGACACACAGTCCACATACCAGAAAACTGAAAGACACTCAGAGAAACAATCATGAACATACAGCATTCATTCATTCACCCACCCACCCATCTATCCATCCTCCCTCAATTCAGAATCACTTGTTCTATAAAGGGGTCCGGAGCATTTTTCGGGGGGAAAAAAAATCCTGGTCGGAGTTTCCCCATCACAGGGTGCTCAGTCCTTTCACACACTCATTTACACCTGAACCTATAGCAGAGACCCTCAATCTGACCAACCCACACCAGGTCATTCTGATAACCCCAGCACTACTGGCCTGAAGTATGGCAGTAAGCATAAACAGAGACATTGCCCTCTGGGGGCTGTCGTACCTTGTCCTTGTTGTCCAGGGTGGATGAGAGGCGGGGGCTGGAGGCGGAGCGGGTCACCCCCGCCAGATCCTCCTTCCTCTGGGCCTCCCGGGCGGCCGTGATCTCCGACAGCGCCCCATAGCTGTCCGTCTTACGCAGGCCTTGGCGCCATGAGGATGGAGACTCATCTTTGGAGGAGGTTTTCCCGCCTGCAGGTGCAAACTGGCCAGAGGTGGGGGGCAGGGGGGTGGGGGGCGAGGTTAACAATGTTGTTGACATCTTGGGGCACACCAATTTAGAAAATGGCCAGATGCAGCAAGGTTAATCGAGATTAAGCAGGGGCAAGGACAGGCGTACTTTTTAAAGCCCTTGCATTTCATTTATTATCCGTTATTCACGACGGCTGCTTTGCAAGAAATCCAACCCTGAAAACCAGTCAGCCTCCAAACGACAGACTTTCACCACAGATGCCCTGAGGGGATTAACAATTGGTTAAGGGGAGCGTGGTAGAGGAGCTGGCAGACTGGTTATGTCGTTAGCACTGTCGGACGGTGTGGGATTCTGTGGGGGGGGGGACACCAGGGCCTCACCATCGTTTTTTGGGGGCCAAAGGAAATGGCAGTTTTGCGCAAACCCCGGCGCCATAATGCTGGATCGCACGGCTCCGCCCCGGGCGCGAGAGGAGGAGGAGGAGGAGGAGGAAGGTTAAAGCTGGACTAAAGCCAATCAAGACAAAAGCAGGGGTGAGGTGGAGTCAGATTCTCAGAGAGCAGCAGCTGACAGGACAGACTGCTCTTCAGACATGGAGATACAGGAGAATTGTGGCAGAAAAGAACAGAGAGAGAGAGACAGACAGAGGGGACAGTGCAGGACAGAGCTTCAGATACCGCACTTTAAAAGACCAGAGGCCCTGCCTGTGTGCCTGTGTGCCTGCGTCAGTAGGGTATAGGTGTGCACTCTTATTTACTGATAACTCAATGCAACCTCTTATATACAGCTTAGTTATCAAGGTTCCTCCTACAAGGGCAGACACTCCCACAGATACAGGTGAAGCCAGCATGCGGGCATTTCTTAAAGGTTTTTTTCTCCCCCTTTTTCAAGTATCATTCTGTATAAAAGATATAGTAGTACACCACAGCACATTTATGTCTGGCATTCTGGGGCGACTCTTGTGAAAAGCACAACACTGCATAAAAATAAATTGAACTGATTTAAAAAGTTCAAGAGGGGAAATATTACTTTTTGCAAATCTAGCTTTTTGGGACAACTGAACCCCAGATCACATACCTTGAATGAGAGAAGTCCCAGTGGAAGGGCATTAAATAAAACACTATCCTTCTGCACAGTACCACCGCATGGGATGGCCCAACACCCATATACAGGTAATGAACAATTAAACGTAAGTTCATTATCAGTAATCGGTCCTGTGATAGGCCTGCGAAAGTCACGCCACCCTGCCATTCACAGCTGGCACGGCGGTGCTGGCGGGAGGCCCTGTGGCCCGGCTGCAGAGCCCGGTTTATCCTGCAGAGAGCAGCAGCGGTGCAGATGTGGGCCCAATCACACACTGCTAAGTACTTGTGGCTAACTCAACACCCTCCCCCCACCCTGGGCTGGGGGACGCAGCCTGTGCAGCAGAAACCTGCACGATGCTGCATGCCACAGGTTCCCCCTGCTTAAACTCAGGGCTCAGTTAAAGCACATCTACCTCATGTACAACATTATTCTACCGAAGCAAAATACTGCTTTTCCCCTAGAAATACACACATCCTGACTAGCTGACTGCTGTAAATGCGATGCATGATTGCGGAATTATATTCGCAACCAGTTCTTAAGCCTGAGTGAACACGTGAAGTTCATCCCAACACAGTATGACTCTAAAACGTTCGCATTCACGTGAACGACCAGCCAGTGTGCATCCAGACCACGTCTCAGGCTGGTAAATACAAGGCCATAAAAAGGCCACAGAAAGCACAGGTGCGGTGGTTGCATGACTGGCGCCTGGCCGTACCTTCTTGATGGGGGAGGTAGGAGTCACGGGCTGGGCGGGGCTGGTCGGGGAGGTCACCATCACGCTGGCTGGCACGGAGCTGTTGGCAGTGCTGGTGGGGGCAGGGGTTTTGCTCTTGTCTGGGGGACGCAAGCATCAGACAGTGGAAAGGTTAGCTGAGGCTCACGGAGAGAACCTGACAGTTACACTTTAACAGAGGAGCAGCAGCAGACAACGGCATGTACCAGCTTCGGTCTCAGACTCGGAGTCTTCCTCCTCCTCCTCCTCACTGGAGCAGCTGGACTCGTCTTTCTTGACCTCCTCTTCCTCGTCCATCTTCTCCGACTCCAGGGGCTCTAGCACCAAATTTTTGCTGGGAGGACTGGTCAGAGCAGGGCTGATTATGTGACTGCAGCATAAGCCAATACCTTAGAAAATACAGCTTCAGAAGCTTCGTGTGACATGAGCTGTTAATGTTATATAAGGAAATGTCTACAAGCGAGGTCACCACAGATCAGCCCCGTGTCCCAAGGTCAGCCCGCTTACTTAAGTGGCTTTGGCTGCGTGTTGTCCACTTTATTGGTCGTCTCGTCAATTAGGCGTGACTTCTTGTCCTGCTTTTCGCTCGAAAGCTAAAGTAGACAAATAGGCAGATGGAGTTAATTGCAGGGAAGACAAATGCAGACAGACAAACTCAACCTGACATGGGGAATGCAACACCTCAGGATGCGTCTCACCCGAAACTGGCGGGTTTGGTGATCTATCTCCAAGCTACAACTGACCCAGGTAGACCAGCTTACCAGGCTCTGCTTCTTCTGTAGTTCTTCTAGGTGACCGAGGACATCTTCGTCTGCTACATCAAAGGCTGTCTGGCCCTGAAACAAAGCAGGTCACAGTGACGTTAGGTACAGTGCAGCATGTGATCAGATGCATGGATAGACAGATTATGATGTTGTGGATCTTCACAGTAAGATCTCAGAGAGGGCAGCAGGTGGGAAGGCTCACCACTTTGTTTACAGTGTCCATGTCACACAGGCTCTCCACCAGAATCCGACACGCTTCCTCCTTCGCCCAGTGGGCAGCAGCGTGGAGCGGAGTCCAACCGTCAAAATCCTTAATATTTACATCATAACCTGCCTGGATTAAAAGCCTGCGGGAGCAGGGTGGGGGGGGAGACCATGTGGTAATTAGGCAATGTGACTAAGCTGGAATGTGGCTACAGAAGCCTGAATACTATGCAGGGGTTGACCGCAGTATCGGTGCCAACCTGCCCCCTGGGTCCACATTGTGAAGGACCAAGGCCAGGTACAGACCCAAGCGGAAGACCGGCACCGGCCCACGGCAGATGGCACATGGGCAGGAGGGGCAGAGTGTCGCAGTGGAGGACTCACTTTAAAACCTCGGCGTAGCCCTTGGCTGCCGCCACATGCATGGCCGTGCCGCCGGACTTGGTGTGCCGCATGTCGGCGATCTGACCGCTGTTCAGCCACTGGCGCGCGTCCCGCAGCATGACTCGCTCCTCCTCCTTCCGCGCCGCCTCGATGTCCACCCCTGCGGGGGAAGGGGGCACAGGTAAACACTCACAGGCTCCCAAGGATGTGGGGGAAAACCAGATTAACCAGACAAGTAGTGAGGGAGATGACAGGCTGGCATGCACACAACACACAAGCCTGTCAGATTATGTGGAGAGACACAAATGACAGACAAATTCCAAAGCAGTTTCATTTGAAACAAAATGGCAATTACCACCATAAAGCAGGTGACAGAGAGAACTGTCCCATGGCGAGAATCACCCAGGGTAGGAGGCAGCTGGCAATCAGAGCAGAGAGCCTGAAGAAAAGGCCATCACTGCAAATGGACAGTCTCTTTTTGAAATGTATGACAGCCTAAAAACATACTTCACAGCTTTAACAGAGCCATCGGACAATGATTCCAGCTACCATAGAGTCTAAAAAGATAAACATGTGACTAAAAGCCTTGGGACGCAGAAAACACAAAAGCCTCTTATTAAACGGGTGAGATCACCCAGTGGATTCCCGGAGGACTCGCCGCACACTTCCATCAGACGTGGACCTCCTCGCTTACGGGAAACCGTTACACCAAGAGCCCGGGACAAACTCACAAGAGCAGGTTACCTGCGGGGCAGGAACAGAAAGCAGAAAACCGGGAAATACCCACCTCCCCACTGACAGCTCTCAAACTGATCATTAACATGCTCAGCTATATATAAAAAACCAAACACTTTATACAGAATGGGGTTCCCCTTTAAGACTAACCTAACGGGACCCTGCTGGGGGGCTGCACAGCAAGCTCCATGTAAACAGTAACCGGTATAATGTTTCTTCTATTTTTTTTTTTTTAAACATTGCTTTCAAAATGAGAACACATTTGTTCCCATTATACTACAAATACACATATTTGTTTTTAAACAGATCAAAGTTACAACTTTAACCAGGACTAAAAGGGGGGTGAAAAAGTAATGAAAAAAGCAGTTTCATATCACGCAAGGCAAAGCTAAGATCTGAGGGAATAATAATAATCAGGGACTTTCAGGTCGACCTGCCGCACGCCACGGCAAACGCAGAAGCCAGGCCCAAATCTGCCGCTTTCACGGCCGCGGATATCCACTGCTGACGTGCGCAGAACATGAAAGCCTGGGGCGAACGGCGTCGCTAAAATAAATCGTAAAAACAGTGGACAGCCAAGCTCAAGCTCGCTGGAAGAATAGCTCCCCTGTGACTGGGGCCCTGTTTGCTCACTATAACCATAATATTTGTACTGATGGACTTCCGCAGCTGATGGCACCGTTCTGCGACAGAACAACTCCAGGAAGGGCTCGGCTTGCCAGACAGCGCTGGGAGCGGGCCTCTCAGAGCCTCCGTGAAGCGGCACGCTCGGACCGGGCCTTCACAAGTCCTTTCTGCACGCTCCCCCCGGGAGGCACAGACATTAAGGGTCCTGCGCTTTAAGTGTGGGAGGATGAAAAGGCTGCTATTTCCCCTGCACTTGTTAAAACACATAAAGCTCTCCACACAACAGCCGAGCTTCCGATATAAAACACACACTACGCCTACTTGGCCAGGCCAACTAATCAGGAAAAAAATATATTTTATAATCACACTTTTTAAGCCATGACAGCCATCATGTTTTTTAACAATAGACCATGACGTAATGGCTACTAGCAGTGAATCTTCCAAGTGCACGTTCTTTGTAGATCTGCTCTCCGCTTAGAAATACAGCCCAAAATGTTCAGACAGATGCAGTGTGGGTGGAGTGGCCACATGCAGCAGGGCCTCCTGGGCTCTTCCGTTGAGGTCCTTCTTGTTGGGATTCCTAGCGTCCCTCTGAAGGACACTGCAGCCCCACACACACACAGCACGACTTACTAGGGCTGCAACCAAAGGTCTATGATGCAAAGATAAAAACATGCAGCAAGGAAAAAGGAAACTTATCTTTATCAGGGAGATTAGCAAACACTGACTGGAAGGAAGAGGCACCACAGATACAAACCAGCCCAAGTACAGTTCAACTGACAATACCTACACCTGCAAGATAACGGTAGGAATAGACAATTCACACCCACAAAGTGTCAGTGACTGTGGAAAGGCCCAGCAAATGCATGCCTTCTATGCATCTCTGTGTTTTGAACAGTAGTCTTTAGAAGGAACCTTAAACAAAACAAAAGGAGATTTTTTAAAGAAATAATCATCTCTGCATTTTTTATGAAAGTCTATTCCTGTTCTCATCCAAAGTTTGCAGAGCAATACTGAACACACTCGTACATGAAGCACAAAGTTAAACTCGGTCGCTCATACGTCTCATCCTCCTCTCGGTGAGTACGCAAACGTCCAATGAGGTTTGTGGTGTTGAATACTTCAGCAGAACATCCTCCAAGAGCAACAACTTCTGCGCCTAAGTTGCACACAAGTCTTTCATCTTTAACAGATATCTGGTAAAACTGCCAGACCGGAAGCAAACCAATGGCCACTTCTGTGTTTGAAACTTAATGCACATATGTTAAGTAATCAACACATATATTCTACATCATCTGCAAAGTCAGTATTTGAGATTGGTTGCCTTTTAATTTGACCAACTTAGTAATTAAGACTGAAAATCAGCCTATTTAAACCAGCTGCAGATTGATTGTAATATGTCTACCTTCCATTTTAAAATTCCACACTTTTCAAGACCGCAGAGGGGGTGGAAGCGGTAAAAATTTGGTACTGTCAAGACAAGCAGGTAAAAGCCTGTATTTCCTCAATATGAGAACTGGAAATTGCAAAATAATCTATATCAATATTTCATGCTGGAGATCTGCTCTCCATAGAGCAGGGGCACACTCCACAAAGAACCCCCCCAGTCCATCATTTGGGATGCACATCCCGGTGCTAACAACCAGCTCACTTTGGTGACTAAATTCAGATGTTTTCTTTTGGAAAAACACAGAAGGCCAATTTGTTGCAATAGTCTGGAAACACCGAAATATTTCCATACCTTCTTTCCTTCTTCCAAACTCATCCAGACTTGGAAAATGCCAAAAAAATAATCCACACTTTTCCATGCTGCGTAGTGATCCTGTAAGGAGCAGCATAGAGGAGATGCTTTCTCAGCACCCAGAACCCACAGGCTGGTCTGAAAATGACCCGTAATGCCAACAAACCTTAGTGGAGGACAATTAGGACAGAGTGTTACTTCTGAAACCACTTAAGCTAAGCAAGGGAAAAGCCATTTCTCTGTCTTTTTACACAATCACTATAAACAAAAAAAGATCACACTTCACAAAGTTACTGAAGCATCAGCTGAGTTGTGTGTAATTACCAGGTCAAAGACTAGCACACGCGTTCATTCACATTCCGTGTGCCAACCTTACAGCACAAGTTCCGTCTCCAAAACCCGTCCTACACAGCATAAAGCTAGAGACGATTATAGCACACTGACAGCACAGGCTACACGCTTCACGGCACATCAGTCAAGGCCTGCAAATGAAGTCTGACAGCAGTCGTTATTGGGATACCCGGTAATCCTGGGTGCCGACTTGGCTGCGGCGTACCATAAAGCATGTTTATAGATGCAGACCATCGACACTGTCCGACTGGACGATTACGCCACATCTTCCTGGGGGGTCAGATGGGGCAGCCCAAAAAAAAAAAAGGTAGTCTGACAGCTCAGACAAAAAAAAAATACAGAAAACGAATGTGCACATTCAGACAGCAGGTCTGCTCCATCAGAAGCACATATACTGAAAGGGTGAGGGCAAACCAGAGGGCAGAGAAACTCAAGCCGGATACAGTACTGCAACCTTCAAGCCTGGGGGGGAGGGGGCGTGCTGGAACTGGTTCTCCCCCAGACCCGGACAGGCATACGTCATCCGCACAGAGAGCGCCAGCCCTTTCATCTACGTGTATTAGTGTCACAAAAGGCTCAGAATGTGTCTAAACACCAAAGCATTTTGTGCTATTAGTTATTCTACCACTTTAAAACCCCCATGTCAACATCTGACATACAGAGCTGTGCCGTTTATCATCAGCTGGCTTCCGCATTGCTGATGCAAGAGGAAGCCATCTCTACGCTCTGGCTTTCTGCCAGGACACACTGCTCAACATGTGGGGGGGGGGGGGGGGATGCTATACCTTGCCGGTTGATTTCATTCTGCAGCAGCTCCTCCATGGCCTCCTCCTCCGCGATGTCCAATGGTGTCTCTCCTTCACTGTTGACCACGCCCACATTGGCTCCATGGCTAATGAGGTACCTGAAGGGGTGGAGATAGTTTAGTGAATCCACGCGTCAACAAGAGCTTCAAGTGCCTTTACCAACCTGCCAAACACGTTCAGGAAATTAAGTCACATCTATTAAATGTCAGCTATTATGTTGGAAACATTGTCTTTTAACGACGTCCCTAAAAGAAAGGCATTTCAGAAATCACTGCCATTGTCATCTCCTATGATAGTTAAGTGTAAGCAAATTAGAAAAACAAATTCCTAGATACCTAATATGTGCTTAACGCGACCCTTAAATTACCAGCATATTCATCAAGGAAAAAATGGCCCCTTTACAGCTCCTTCACAGGGGCCTGATTTATCAAAGCTGAATATGCACAAAAAGACACCAGAAATGTTCAAAGCACATTTTTACAACAAACCCCAGATCTAACAAACAAAACTTGGTGGGGTAAAAATGCATGTATTTACAGAAATTCGAGAGGTGGTGTATGCAGTTTTTTGGACAAATTGAGATTCCCACTTCAAAGCAGGGAGCTGCCAGTAAACCCGTAAAATGTCCGCGTGCGTGCCGACAATTTATACCATCAACCTGCACCTTCACGTTTACGTGCGTGTCGCTTGCATTTTTATTTGATTAGTGTTCATTCAACCTGCTTCTTTGCATCGTTGATTCTGTAATTTACTCCCATACAGCTTAATTCAAATCAAAAGTTTATTTATCAAATGCACAATAGCACAGCATACAGCAGAGGATGGAGACAATGAAATCAGTGCTAATTAAGCTATTTTTATCAAAAGACATTTCATTTATTAATGTACAAGTAATCTGTCATGCTATCATGACATTGTCAAACGTAGTAGCTCAGTGATTTGGGTCAACACATGGTTAGTTCATTTGAGTTTCAAGTACCACATCAGTATTTCCTGATTGCTCTGGCGCAGCAGTATAACTGCACATCCCCTATTACAGATGCCATATAAGGTAGAAGATGCGGGTTTGCCCCCAATAAACACAGCCACATTGGCCATGTGCAAATTGTTGCTCTCTCTCTATTGTCAGATTTGAACACTATTTGGGGGGTGTTTTGACAGAACTTATATGCTTCCATTGAACACAGTTTACATTTAAATTCATTATCATCACAAAGTACAAGTATGCAGACAACAATATGCAGTTTGACATCTAATCCAAAAGTGCAAAAAGTGCTAGAAACAACTGTGCAAAAATTATATATACAAAATTGGACACACATATACATATACAGTGGTACCTCGGTTCTCGAACTTAATCCGTTCC